GCCTGACCATAGTGAGCAATGCGTGCGGCACGCTCTGGAACCTGTCGGCCCGCAGCCCCCGCGACCAAGAGCTGCTGTGGGACCTGGGCGCCGTGGGCATGCTGCGGAACCTGGTGCACTCGAAGCACAAGATGATCGCCATGGGCAGCGCCGCCGCGCTGCGCAACCTGCTGGCTCACCGGCCTGCCAAGTACCAGCCGGCGGCCACCGCGATCTCCCCGGGCTCCTGCGCGCCCAGCCTGTACGTGCGCAAGCAGCGCGCGCTAGAGGCCGAGCTGGACACACGGCACCTGGCGCAGGCGCTTGACCACCTGGAGAAGCAGGGCCTGCCGGAGGCCGAGGCCGTCTCCAAAAAGCCCCTCCCGCCCCTGCGCCACCTGGACGGCCTGGCCCAGGACTACGCCTCTGACTCGGGCTGCTTTGATGACGACGATGCGCCCTCCCTGGCAGCTGCCGCCACTGCCGCAGAGCCTGCCAGCCCCGCAGTGCTCTCCCTGTTCCTGGGCAGCCCCTTCCTGCAGGGCCAGGCGCTGGCCCGAACCCCGCCCACCCGCCGAGGAGGCCTGGAGGTGGAGAAGGAGGCCTGTGGGGAGGCAGCCGTGGCAGCTAGGGCCAAGGCCAAGCTGGCACTTGCGGTGGCTCGCATCGACAGGCTGGTGGAGGATATCTCGGCCCTGCACACCTCCTCTGACGACAGCTTCAGCCTCAGCTCTGGGGACCCTGGGCAGGAGGCCCCGCGAGAAGGCCGTGCCCAATCCTGCTCACCTTGCAGGGGACCTGAGGGGCGGCGGCGGGAAGCGGGCGGCAGCCGGGCTCACCCACTGCTGCGGCTCAAGGCAGCCCACGCCAGCCTTTCCAATGACAGTCTCAACAGCGGTAGCACCAGTGATGGGCACTGTCCTCGTGAGCACTCACGGCCCTGCTCGCTGGCTGCTCTGGCCGAGCACCGAGAGGGGCCTCCACGTGGCCAGGCGCGGCCCAGCCGGCTTGACCTCAACCTGCCCGGAGGCCAGGCTGAGCCTGAGGCCCGGGATGCCAAGGCCACAGACGCCCATGTGCGTACCATCAAGTTGTCACCCACCTACCAGCACGTGCCGCTGCTGGAGGGCGCCACCAGGGCGGGTGCAGGGTCCCTGGCCCCCGGTGCCCGGAAACAGGCCTGGCTGTCCACAGAGGGCCTGAGCAGTATGCCTGAGAAGCTAGTGGTCGAGAAGGCACCCCTCTGCCTGTCCCGCTGCAGCTCGCTGTCCTCGCTGTCCTCAGCTGGCCGCCCGGGGCCCAGTGAGGCTGGGGACCTAGACGAGAGCGACTCTTCCCTGGAGGGGCTGGAGGAGGCTGGCCCTGGTGAGGCAGATCTGAATGGGGCCTGGCGGGGCCCGGGGGCCACGTCTCTGCCCATGGCCATCCCGGCGCCCCAGAGGGGTCGGGGCCTGGGGGTGGAGGATGCCACACCGTCCAGCTCCTCTGAGAACTGCGTGCAGGAGACACCACTGGTGCTGAGCCGCTGCAGCTCAGTCAGTTCACTGGGCAGCTTCGAGAGCCCGTCCATTGCCAGCTCCATCCCCAGTGACCCGTGCAGCGGACTGGGCAGCGGCACGGTCAGCCCCAGTGAGCTGCCTGATAGCCCTGGGCAAACCATGCCGCCGAGCCGCAGCAAGACACCACCACTGGCCCCAGCACCACCGGGCGAGCGGGAGGCCACCCAGTTCAGCCTGCAGTGGGAGAGTTACGTGAAGCGCTTCCTGGACATCGCCGACTGCCGGGAGCGCTGCCGGCTGCCCTCCGAGCTGGATGCAGGCAGCGTGCGTTTCACTGTGGAGAAGCCCGACGAGAACTTCTCGTGTGCCTCCAGCCTCAGCGCACTGGCCCTGCATGAGCTCTACGTGCAGAAGGACGTGGAGCTGCGGCTGCTGCCCCCTGCCTGCCCAGAGCGCGGCAGCGGAGGAGGCGGAGGCCCAGGGCACCGCCGACGGGACGAAGCTAGTGGCTGTCTGGAAGGGCCGGTGTCCACTGATCAGGAGCTGGAGCTGCTGCGCGAGTGCCTGGGTGGGTCCGTGCCTGCCCGGCTCCGCAAGGTGGCCTCGGCACTGGTGCCTGGCCGCCGCGCGCTGCCTGTGCCGGTCTACATGCTGGTGCCTGCCCCGGCCCATGAGGACGACTCCTGCACTGACTCGGCCGAGGGCACTCCAGTCAACTTCTCCAGCGCTGCCTCCCTCAGCGACGAGACCCTGCAGGGACCCCCCAAGGATGGTGGGCGTTTGGATGGGCAGAAGCCCGCGGGTCGTGCCGCCCCCACCAGGCAGCCTGCTGGGCAGCGGCACAGGGTGGGGGGCATGGGCCAGAGCACAGAGCAGCCCCGGGGGGCTGGCAGGAGCCGGGCAGGGCTGGAGCTGCCCCTCCGCCGGCCCCTAAGCGCCTGCAGGGACAGCCTGCGGGACAGCTCCCGCCCAGGCCGGGAGCATGGGGATGGGGCTCGGCAGTCTCTGTGCCTCACAACGCCCACTGAGGAGGCTGTGTACTGTTTCTATGGCAATGACTCAGATGAGGAGATGGCCACAGCGGTCACAGCAGCACCCCCACGGCGGGCATCTGCGATCCCCCGGGCGGTGAAGAGAGAGTGCCCAGCTGGTGCCAGGAAAGAGGTGCAGGCTGTGCCCAAGGCTGCACCCAAGGCGGCACCACCTGCCCGGGCCCAGCCCAGCCTCATTGCAGATGAGACACCACCATGCTACTCCCTGAGCTCCTCAGCCAGCTCCCTCAGCGAACCTGAGACCTCCGAGTGCATGGCCAGCCGGCCCCGGGTACACAAGCCAGGGCTCACCAAGGACCTGGGCCCCGGGGGCAGGAAGGATGGCACCCCCAGCCCGCGGGCTGAGGCAGAGCTGCTCAGGCACTGCATCGGCTCAGCCTTGCCCAGGCGCCAGCCTCAGGTGTCTGGCCCAAGGCGCCGCCCACCCCGAGAGGCCCAGCCAAAGGAGCGTGCAGCAGAGGGGCCCCGGGAACACGGTGAGGAGGCGGCCAGCTCAGACCATGCCTCAGACCTGGATAGCATCGAGTGGCGTGCCATCCAGGAGGGTGCCAACTCTGTTGCCACATGGCTGCACCAGGCTGCAGCGGCAGCTGCGCGCGAGGCCTCCTCAGAGTCTGATTCCGTTCTGTCCTTTGCAACAGGGCAGTCAGTGGGTTCCACCCTGCAGCCCACCCTGCATAGGAAGGGGCGTCAGCCAAGGGCAGAGGGCCAGCTGGGTGGTGCCCTGCGGCCAGAGAAACCAGAAGGGGCCCTCATCCAGCGCAGCAGCAGGCCGGAGAAGCTGCGTGGCACTCAGAAGGCCCCGAATGGGGTGCCGGCGGTGCTCCGGGGACATACAGTGATCTACATGCCCAGTCCAGCCACCCGGGCGCAGTCCAGAGGTGCCCCTGGTTCCCGCATTGCAGCAAGAAAGATGGGAGCCCCCAGCCCCGTGCAGCCAGCGGCCCCCACCAAAGCCCCCAGCACAGGGCAGCAGCGGTCTAGGAGCCTGCACCGGCCTGGCAAGATCTCAGAGCTGGCAACACTCAGTCCCCCGCAGAGAAGTGCCACACCACCAGCCCGCCTTGCCAAGACCCCGTCGTCAAGTTCCTCTCAGACCTCACCTGCCTCCCAGCCTCTGCCCAGGAGGTCACCCCCTGCTGCCCAGCCTGCAGGGCCCCTGCCCGGCCCCAGGGCCTCCCCAGTGCCCAAGACTCCAGCAAGGGCCCTGCTGGCCAAGCAGCATAAGACGCAGAAGTCACCCGTGAGGATCCCCTTCATGCAGAGGCCCGCCAGGCGGGGGCCGCCGCCCTTGGCTAGGGCAGCCCCGGAGCCAGGCCCTAGGGGCCGGGTGGGTGCAGAAAGGGGCCCTGCAGCCCGAGGGGGCCGCCTGGGCCTGGTGCGCGTGGCCTCCGCCCGCTCTAGCGGCAGCGAATCCTCCGAGCGCTCGGGTTTCCGGCGGCAACTGACCTTTATCAAGGAGTCGCCGGGTCTGCTGCGTCGCCGACGCTCGGAATTGTCCGCACCCGAGGCCACCAACCCGACCACCCAGGCTGCCTCGCCCTGCCGCGGCCGGCCGGCACTACCCGCTGTCTTCCTCTGCTCCTCGCGCTGTGATGAGCTACGGGCAGGCTCCCAGCAGGCCCCGGCCCCCCAGCGGGCCCCCGCGGCCCGGCCCCGCCCCAGCGAGCGGCAGCCTCGGCGCACCAGCTCCGAGAGCCCGTCCCGCCTGCCCGTCCGTACGCCGGCCACCGGGCCCGAGACGGTCAAGCGCTATGCCTCCCTACCCCACATCAGCGTGGTCCGCAGACCGGATGCCACCAGCCCCGAACCTGCAGCGGACGCCACCCGCCGCAGCAGCGCAGGGGAGGCCGGGCCACTGCCCAGGGTGGCCGCGCCGGGCACCACGTGGCGCCGCATCCGGGACGAGGACGTCCCGCACATCCTGCGGAGCACGCTGCCCGCCCGCGCACTGCCGCTGCTGGGCTCCCCGCCAGAGGACCGCCCGGCCGGCCCGCCGCAGCGCAAGACCAGCGACGCCGTGGTCCAGACTGAGGACTTCGCGGCCGCGAAGACCAACTCCAGCACGTCCCCGAGCATGGAGAGCAGGGCACCCCCCCAGGCCACGGCCGGCGGCCCCACCTCCCTTCTTGGCAGCGACGTGGACGGGCCGCCCGCCAAGGCGCCCGCCCCCATCCCCTTCGTCCCCGCCAGCCGGCACGGCTCCCCCAGCCGCTCCGCCCGCGTCCCCCCCTTCAACTACGTGCCCAGCCCCATGGTGGCGGCCACCGCTGACTCCGCCGTGGAGAAGGCCCCCACCCCTGTCCCCACCAGCCTCCTAGAATAGTGGCCAGGACTGGACTTCCAGAACATCCTCTCCTGGCCCAGGGCCGTCTGGCTGCCCCGAGGGTGGTCCCAGGACCCGCCTGCCACCACCCCCCTAGGGCCCCGCCCTCCGAGCCTCACCCCTGCCCACACGGGCCTCGCACTCATGCGTAGACGCTTGCTTTTGAGCCGAGGAAGCTTCTGGAGGAAAGTGAGCTGCGGGCTGGAGCGCGCGTCACCGCAAGGGGGCGCCCACGAGGCGCCCCGCGCGGAGACCACCCTCCTGGCTCGGGCCGTCCTCAGCGGTGCCCTTCTGGGTTCCTGGCCCTGCCGGGCCCGGCGTTAGCACCACGCTTGCTCCCCTCCCCTCTGGGGAACGTATGGGGGTAGGGAGGGAATGACAGTGCCCGCCGAGGTGGGGACGGGGCTGAGAGGGTGGCGGCTGCAGGAGCCTGCCAGGCGGGGGGGCGCGGAGACGGCTGCGCATGCGCAGGAGAAAGCATGTAATTACGGGCAGGGCCGGGTAATTGGTTAACTACCGCTTAGCTGGTTTGTTTGCAGTTTCGGCCTCAGCTGGGGGCGTGCGGGAGGGGCGTGTCTGCGCCCTGCAGAAAGACCACCCCAACCCGACAGACACGCGCAGGGAGCCTGGAGCACCCCGAAACTGGTCGGGGGCGTCCCCGCAGTACTCGTAAGGAACCAGGAGAGGCAGGCGTGCCGGGAGGGTCGTGGCTGAGGAGACCGAGAAACGGAGGGGAGGCCGGGGCCTACCCACAGCCCAGTAGCCAGGCCTGGACCACAGGACCTGGACCGCACTCTGCGGGAAGTGCTTCCCGCGGGCGCTTGCCCGGTCCCAGGCCTTTGCCTTTCACCCTGAGTCTCCTTTTCCTTGGATCTGCGGGCTCCGTGGGGCGTGGCCTCCTCCCGGGGGCCAGCACACCTGCCCGAACAGCCGATCTCCCTTCCCTGAGGAGCCCGGCTGTGGGCGAAAGCCAGGAGCTGCTCTCAGCCGCCCTAAGGATCTGCAGTCACACCGCCCTACCGGGCTGCTCTGGGGGCCGGGGACAGTGTGCCGGTTGCCATCCCTTCTCTGGGAGGAGGGGGGCAGAGCCAGGTGGAGAGGAGGTGCTGAAGGAGCCCTGCCTCCGCCCCCCTCGGACGCCGTGCTGCCGCTCCTTAAGACACACACGCTGCGACAGCGAGTCCCGCAGGCCAGGGGCTCGGCTTGAGGGCCAGGAGCGGAAGCAGGACTCAGGAAAGACTGCACCACATACTCCTCCTGGGGAGAGCGGTGGGGACTGAGCAGGGCGCTAGAACAGCCACTGCTGACCCTGAGGCCCCTCTCCAAGGCGGATAAGACACTGCTCTGCAAACGGCTGCTCCCTTCCTGTCAGTAGCCAGGAAGGGAGGGAGGAGTGGCCTTCTGGGCTCCTTCTCAAATGGGGGGGGCTGCAGAATGCTGCACCCCATCATCATAAGCGAGCTACCCCTGGAAATGGAATGCCGCCAGCTTGCCAAGCTGTGGAGGCCTGGAGTGGAAGCCCCAGTACTGAGTCCCAGGCTGCGCTCTGGCAGCTGTGTGCCTGCTTCCCCACGTGGGCCGTGGGGAGAATTCCCAGAGCTACCTCTGGGTTGAGCATGTCAGCTGCCATGACTGGTGGCAGAGGACTGTCCAGGCTGGCTGCCCCTAGCCATTCTCTCCACAGGCAGGAGCAGGGCCCGAGCCATCCCATCCTGTCCAGCGCCCACCCTGTCACCTCGATCCATCAAAGCAGTGGTCCACGCAGCCGGTGGGAGCCCGAGGGAGCCCCGAGGCCCTGATTAGAGTGGCTTCCTGGAGGAGGCAGTGCTGGCCATTGCGGGACAATCAGCCTGAGGCCAGAGCTTAGAGGAACAAAGTCCGAGGACCCCAAACACTCCTGTGAAGCCCTGACCCAAGAGACATAGGGCACCCAGGCCAGACCTCGGCCCAGAGCAGATGGACACCGCAAGCTGGGTGCTGACTTTGGGGCACTACCTCACCATGTTGCCGCAGCCTGAGCCTGGTTGTCTTGGCTTGTCCCCCTCACCGCGTCTCCATCCCAGGTGCCGCAGGACACCTGTAAATACGTACAGCCCCCACCCATAAAGCCATCACCTGGCGGAAAGAGGCCGCAGAGCCAGGCATCTCACTGCACCTTTAATAAACAGCTGTTGAATCGCGCTCCAACTGCCTGCGCCTTAGTCTCCAGAGGGGTGAAGCAGGGTGGGGGTCAGGAGGGGGCTTTGCAGACCTTTGCCTGCACAGCCTCACTCCCCACAACCAAGTGTACTTGAGGTTGACACAAGGGTTTGTTGTGTGCAAGAGTGCCCTCCCTTGGACGAGGAGGCTGCTCGGTGTCCACTGCTGCTACTGGGGCTGCATCCACACTTTCTCAACACCTGGGCCCCCAAGTTTCCAGTTTTAGAGTCTCTAGGCGTGAAGAAGACACCTTTTCCTCCTGGGATACGCGAGGTCTCCTCGTCTGCTGTGCGGGGTCCCAGCGCCGCCCTGAGCTTTTGGGACCCTGGAAAGGAGGGGCCCATGGGGGGACTGTCGTCGGAGGCGCTCAGTGGGTTCACCACCTCCCACTGGTCTGCTGCTCTGGTCTTCACGGGACTGGTTTTTTAGGCTGAAAGCCCTTTTCACGGTCCTCACCTGGCCCACCGCCCACCTATCTGCGGTGAAGGTGGAAAGAGGAAGGGCACTGGGTGAAAGCTGGGGCGGAGACTGACCACCACGTCCTCTCACAGTATCCCCATGTGACTGGATCCCACAGGTGACAGAGAGACAAGAGCCTGCCTGGGGGAGCACCCAGGTCCAAGATGGGGAGCCAGGGGCCCCAAGAGGTGGCACTCACCCTGAGGGCTACTGCTCCTCACACAACCACAGCCACTATGGGCTGGGGAGGACACTGAACACCCCCACACTCTTCTGGAACCTCTGGGCGCCCCCTCAATTCACATGGGGATGGGAGAACCAGAGGGGTGGGTCCCACCAGCTCAGTCTGATTGGTCAGTGAAGCAGGGTCGCCAGAGGAAGGGAAGGGAGGATGGATTGACGGTCCTGGGCCCCGGGCCTTGAAGGAAGTCCAGTCTGGGCTCCTCAGGGCAAGAGGCCTGTGCACAACCTGGATCCCTTCCTCAGGGAGGGGGTCTATGTCCAGTGAGGCCCCACACCGACTGGGCAGGCTGTGTCCCCTGGGGTCTCTGGGTGCCAGGGCATACCTAGGCCGCAGAACAGAGAGCCAGAAATCTTCTGGGACCCAGGGGCCCAGGTGTCAGGTGAGGGGTGCCAGGCCAGATGCTGAGTGGAGGACCCAAGGTTCTGGTGGGCCGGGTTATCCCAAGGAGGCGGCTGCTGTGCTGGGCAGAGCCACTTGGCCCACCTGGCTGATGTCCCGCTCCAGCTCCTTGCCCGCCTGCTGCAGGTCTGCACGCTTCTGCTCCAACTGGGCACCCGCCTGCTGCAGCCGCTGGTTCAGGGCCACATAGATCCGGCTCTGGAGGTAGAGTTGCTCTTGTTGGGCCTCGGCGTCCTCGGCCCTCCCATAGAGGCCCGGGGGTTCTATGGATAGGATACGGCAGCATCACTGCCCGTTAACCAGAGGACTCAGTTTACCCTCCAGAGAAAACAAATTGACTAGAGGGGACAGGTCACAGGAAAGGCTGGACTCCACTGACCCACAGTCCCTCCAAGGGGTGGGTCCTGGCTCCTGGAAAGGGCTCTGACCCTGATCACAGAGCACACTGGCTCTCACCAGCACTCTGAGCACTCAGGGAGATGGGAAGAGGCCAGGACGCACACTTCCCAGTGACCACACTTCCTAAAGGGTACAGGAGATGGGGGGAGTCAGGACAGAAAGGCACAGGCTCCAGGGTCACATGGACACACATCAAGGTCCTCCTTGCTCTGCCTGGTCCCCTTGTCCACAAACTGGCCAGAACCTCTGCATTTGATTGAGATCACTTTACTACCTGCCTAACACCAAGGTGGGAAAGGCCAGACAGTGCAGGTGCACACAGAGGCGGACACAGGCCAGCAGGGGAAGCCCCCTGCTCCTTGAATGGACCCAGCACTAGCCACGCCTCATGGACCCAACCTCCAAGTGCTGGGGACCGAGGCCTGTGATCCTTAAGCTGGGGCTCAAGCAGCTGCCAAAGACCCAGCTGTGGGCTGTGGGTAAATAGGTGCTGTGGTTCCTCAGGCGGCCCCATCCAACACAACGTTCCAGGAGACAGAAATGCCCCCAGCTGAGCCCCCCAGCCCAGCAGCAACAACAAGGATCTTCTGAGCCTGTAAAATGTGGTCATGTGCAGCAAAGAACAGAATTTTTACTGTTACTTAATTTAAAAACAAATTGTCCCACAGCCACTTGTAAGTCAATGAAGTTAGAACCCTCTCTTATACCCTACACAAAAATAAACCCAGAATGGCTTAAAGGCCTAAATATAGGACATTACACCATAAAACTCCTAGAGGAGACCATAGGCATAACATTCTGTGACATAGATCTTACGTATGTTTTTTTAGGTCAGTCTCCCAAGGCAACAGAAATAGAAGCAAAAACAAACAAATAGGACCTAATCAAACTCACAAGCTTTTGCCCAACAAAGGAAACCAGCAGCCTACAGGCTGGGAGAAAATAATTGCAAATGATGTGACTGACAAGGGCTTGATTTCCAAAACATACAAACAGCTCATACAACTCAATATCAATACACAAAACAACCCAGTTGAAAAATGGGCCAAAGACCTACATAGACATTTCTCCAAAGAAGACATACAAATGGTCAAGAATCACATGAAAAAATGCTCAGTATTGCTAATTATTGGAGAAAGGCAAATCAAAACCACAATGAGGTACCACCTCCTACAGGTCAGTATGGCCATCATTAAAAACTGTACATTAAAAACTGGACTTCCCTGGTAGTCCACTGGCTAAAATGCCATGCTCCTAATGCAGGGGGTTGAGGTTCAAACCCTGGTCAGGGAACTAGATCCCACATGCTGCAACTAAGAGTTCGCATGACACAACAAAGCCCTGGCACAGTCAAACAAATAAATATTAAAAAAAAAACCCAAAACTCTACAAATAACAAATGCTGGGGAGGGTGGAGAGAACAGTAAACACTCCTACACTGTTGGTGGGAATATAAGCTACTGCAGCCACTGTGAAAACAGCACAGAAGTTCCTCAAAAAACTAAAAACAGAGGTACCATATGATTCAGCAATCCCACTCCTGCGCAAATAAATCCAGACGAAACCATAATTCAAAAAAACACATGCACCCCAATGTTCACTGAAGCACTAGTTACAACAGCCAAGACATGGAAGCAAGCTAAATGTCCATCGACAGATAAATGGATAAAGAGAAATAAAAAGGGTACGGTAAGAAAAAAAAAAGGATATGGTGTATATACACACAATGGATTACTACTCAGCAGTGAAAAAGCACAAAAATACTGTCACTTGCAGCAACATGGATGCAACTAGAGATTACCATACTAAATGAAGTCAGAAAGAGAGAAATACTGTATGATGTCACTTATATGTGGAATCTAAAATATAATGCAAATGAACTTACCTATGAAACAGAAACAGACTCAGACACAGAGAAAAGACTTGTGGTTGCCAAAGGGGAGGGACAGCAAGGAAATCAACCCTGAATATTCACTGGAAGGACTGATGCTGAACCTCCAAACTTTGGCCACCTGATGCAAAGAGCAGACTCATTGGAAAAGACCCTGATGCTGGGAAAGATTTCGTGCAAGAGGAGAAAGGGGCAACAGAGGATCAGATGGTTGGATGGCATAGCAACTCAATGGACATGAGTTTCAGCAAACTCTGGGAGATGGTGAAGGACAGGGAAGCCTGGCCTGCTGCAGTCCATGAGGTCACAAAGAGTTGAACACGACTGGGCGGCTGAACAACAAACACAAAGGGGAAGGGGGATAGTGGAAAGAATGACTGGGAGTTTTGGATAACCATACGCAAACTATTATATACAGGACGGATAAACAACAAGGTCCTACTGTATAGCACAGGATTTTCAATATCCTGTGATAAACTATAATGGAAAAGAATGAGTATGTGTAACTGAGTAACTGCTATAAAACAGAAATTAACATTGTAAACCAACTATAATTTAAAGAAAACAAAAAGACACAAACCCCCCAAAAAAGTCCCAGTGTGTTTCTCACCTTCTGACATTCCACAAGCCTTATACTGATCCTCTCTACTCACTAGAATGGCCTGAGGACAGGCACTTTCATCTTTTTTTTTTTTCCCTTTTCTTGGCTGTGCCACGTGGTATGTAGGATCTTAGTTCCCCGACCAGGGATTGAACCCATGCCCCCTGCAGTGGAATCACAGAGTCCTAAGCACTGGACAGGCAGGGAAATCCCAGGGACTTTCAACGTTCAGATATCACCTCACCACCTCAATGATTAGAATAGAACCTGGCCCATAAGAGGTTCTCAATAAGGTTAAACGAATAAACGAACCTCATAGAGAACACAGTATTCAGACTACAACTGTATGTCGGACCCTGCAGTCACTGTTTTCCGTTTATCTTCTGAACAAGGGGTGGACACTCTTTCTCTGCAAAAGGCCAGACCTAAGTATTTTGGGGACTGAAGGGCCAGTCTCTGTCCTGAAAACTTAACTCTGCCAGTGCGTCTCAACAGCAGCCAGGTGCTTCCCTTCTTGCTGGGGTCTCGGGACCGCCCCTACCCTGCACGACCTGGGCTCCCCCTACCTTCCCGAGCCAGTGCGGTGAAGACGGGGTCCTCGGCGGGCGCCCCCCGCACGTCCTCCAGGATCTGCTCTACCGTGGGGGGCGCCGGGCGGGTGGGCAGCACCACGCGCTTCTTGGCCTTGGAGCCCATCCCTGCAGGCTGGAAAAAAGAGCGTTGACCGCGCAGTTCCTGCCACCCAGCAAACTCCTACACACGCTCCGGAGCCCCGCTCCCGGCGAAGCCGGTACTGCCTCGTTCCTCCCAAGGCGGAACAGCACGGTGTCTGGGGCTTCAGTTTTTGGCTCCACTCAAGACAAGTTTCCAAGAGAAATTCCACCTAGCCGCTGTACTCAGCCGCCACAGCGGCCGAGAGGCCACTTCCGCTTCCGGTCGGCCTGCGGGCCCGCCCTATAGGCACGTGATACGCACTTCCGGCCTCCTCGGGTTCCCGCCCGCCGCGAAGCCACCCCCCCCCCTTTAAAGGGGCCACGCCCGAGAGCGTTTCGGTACCACTGGACCAGAATGTGTGGGGCTTCCCTGATAGCTCAGTTGGTAAAGAATCCACCTGCAATGCAGGAGACCCCAGTTCGATTCCTGGGTCGGGAAGAGCTCCTGGAGAAGGGATAGGCTACCCACTCCAGTATTCTTGGGAAAGGCTACCCACTCCAACTGGAGAATTCCTTGGACTGTATAGTCCATTAGTTCCCAAAGAGTTGGACAAGACTGAGCAAGTTGAAGTGGGGTAGTGGACCAGAATGAGGAAGGAAGCATCAGCCTCCTCGCGCAGGGCCTAGAAGCAAGCACAAAGGGTGGGCGTAGGGTCCAATGCTGGCTTCTCTCACTGCCTGACAAAGCATCCTCCAAGCCAGTCTTCAACAGTACAGGTTAATAGTATGTGAACCGTGAACTTCCAGATGTTCAAGCTGGATATAGTAAAGGCAGAGGAACCAGAGATCAAATTGCCAACATTGCCAACATCCATTGGATCATTGAAAAAGCAAGTGAGTTCCAGAAAAACATCAACTTCAGCTTTATTGACTACGCCAAAGCCTTTGTGTGGATTACGACAAACTGTGGAACATTCTTACAGAGATGGGAATACCAGACCACCTTACCTACTTCCTGAGAAATCTGTATGCAGGTCCAGAAGCAACAGTTAGAATCAGTCATGGAACAACAGGCTGGTTTCAAATTGGGAAAGGAGTAGGTCAAGGCTGTATATTGTCACAGTGCTTATTTATCGCATATCCGGAGTACATCATGTGAAATGCCAGGCTGGATGAAGCACGAGCTGGGATCAAGATTGCCGGGAGAAATAACAATAACCTCAGATACACAGATGACACCACCTTTATGGCAGAAAGCAAAGAAGAACGAGTCTCTTGATGAACGTGAGGGAGAAGAGTGAAAAAGTTGGCTTAAAACTCAACATTCAGAAAACAAAGATCATGACATCTGGTCCCATCAATTCATGGCAAATAGATGGGGGAAACAGTGGAAACAGTGGCAGACTTTATTTCGGGGGGCTCCAAAATCACTGCAGATGGTGACTGCAGCCATGAAATTAAAAGACACTTGCTCCTTGGAAGAAAAGTTATGAATAACCTAGACAGCATATTAAAAAGCAGAGACATTACTTTGCTGACAAAGGTCCATCTAGTCAAAGCTATGGTTTTTCCAGTAGTCATGTATGGATGTGAGAGTTGGACTATAAAGAAAGCTGAGCACTGAAGACTTGATGCTTTTGAACTGTGGTATTGGAGAAGACTCCTGAGAGTCCCTTGGACTTCAAGGAGATCAAACCAGTCAATCCTAAAGGAAATCAGTCCTGAATATTCATTGGAAGGGCAGATGCTGAAGGTGAAACTCCGAAACTTTGGCAACCTGATGCAAAGAACTGACTCACTGGAAAAGACCCTGATGCTGAAAAAGATTGAAAGTAGGAGGAGAAGGGGATGACAGAGGATGAGATGGTTGGATGGCATCACAGACTCGATGGACATGAGTTTGAGCAAGCTCTGGGAGTTGGTGATGGACAGGGAAGCCTGGTGTGCTACAGTCCGTGGGGTTGCAGGGAGTTGGACAGGACTGAGCGACTGAACTTAACAAGGCATTTGAGGCCAAGTTTTCTGCAAAATGGGGACACGACCTCCAACCCACATGGCTGTCATGGGAACACAAAAGGTGGCAGGCACACAGGGAGCACTCAGTAAATGCCAGCTGTGCCAGCCCCACTGAGGTGACCAGGGGTGCAGCATTCGCGTCTGGGCTCTCCTCCAAATCCAAATCATGGTCGACTCTCCAGTCTCTAAAATCCCTCCCCTCAGGGTGGGGTCATAGCGCTGGAGGCTGATCTTGGCCTCTCCCCTCTTAAGTAGGGTGGGCAGACCTGCTCAGACCAGGGAGGTTTTTCTGTGTTTAGGCAACTTTATAGAAAGTAAGTTAAGGCTTCCCTGGTGGCCTAGCGGTAAGGAATCTGCCAGCAATGCAGGAGACCACCAGAAATGCAAGAGACTCGGGTTTGATCCTTGGGTCAGGAAGATCCCCTGGAGAAGGAAATGGCAACCCACTCCAGTATTCTTGCCTGGGATATCCCATGGACAGAGGAGTTTAGTGGGCTACTGTCCTTGGGGTCGCAAAGAGTTGGAGACGACTTAATGACTAAACCACCACTACCACCACCTACCAGTGGTTAGGATTCCTTGTTCTCTCTACCGAGGGTTTGGATTCAGTCCAAGGTGGGAGAACTAAGATCCTACATCCCATAAGCTGCCCTGGCGCAATAAAAAAAAAAAAAGCAATTTACATAATTTACAAGTAGTAGTATTAGTAGTATCAGTCACTCAGTTATGTCAGACTCTGCGGTCCCATGGACTGTAGCCCACCAGGCTCCTGTGTCCACGAAATTCTCCAGGCAAGGATACTGGAGTGGGTTGCCATTTCCTATTCAAGGGGATCTTCTGGACCCAGGGATTGAACCAGGGTCTCCCTCATTGCGACCAAATTCTTTACCATCTGAGCCACCAGGGAAGCCTGCAATACCATAAAACCTACCTGTTTAAAGTGTACAAGTCAGTGTTTTGGGAATATATAGACTGCCGGGGTCCAGCCTCGGCAGGATCCACGGGGTACCCTCAGGATGAATGGCGTCGGCAAGAGAGAGAGAGAGAGAAAGAAGACACGTGAGACCAGCCTTGATAGGGCCAAGTCTGTGAGGGAGAGAGAGAGAAAGAGAGAGAGAGTGACCAGACGGAGGGTGCAGCAGAGTCTGGCAATCTTTTATTTTTTACCGTGGCTTTTATACCCTAAGTCAGTACATTTCTAAGGAGAAGATAGTTTAACATTATGTCAGCTTGTCCTTCATGAAACCAGGGTGTTTTCTGCATACTTCTTTGTTTATAAGGGTCTTGTACCTTATCTTCTGGCCTTGGGGTCTATTAACATTTTATGCAGGTCAGGTGAATGTAAACCTATTTTCTGTTTCTATGGTGACCTTAACTGAAAGGTAGCAGTCTCATAGGGCAACAGTACAGCGTAGAAGTATAACCTTAACACAAAAATTAATCCTTCTGCAGAAGTTGTCAGTTGCGTTTATCTGAGAAGTTTACCCTACACAGACTCTGCGGCTTCGGTGAGGCAGCCTCTGCCTAGCACTCCTGGCTGACAATTAGCAACCATCATTGGTACCACACTAGGGCTAAGCTCTTATTTTTCTAGATCTATAACTATACTAACAATGGTTTCCATAAGACAACCTTAGCACATTAAGAGCAAAAACACAGCAAGCAAAAAATACCAAGGGCATAAACGCATTTGCCAAACAAACTAAAACTAAAATAACAGGAAAGGAGTTTAAATTAAAACACTCCTTTCATCCTGGATAATCTCATAAAATACCACCACCTGGGAAACTTATTAATTAAAGTTCTAAATTGATTCTTATTTGGGAAGAGATTGGGGAAGGCCTTCTGCCTGTGTCACAGAAATTAGGGAGTAGTCTGTTGAAGCAAGCATCAGAAAGACAGATATCATCTTTAAGGTGAGCGCAGGGGGCAGCTTTTCGAAATCCCTGAAAACCTGATCTGCCTTGCCTGTCAGGTTTTCTCCCTCATAACCTTGTCATGGGTAGGGTCTTGTGTGTTGGCTCCCGGCAATAGACAGTGGATGTTTCACATCAGCGGGATCACACACCCTGTGTTCTTTTATGTCCTGCTTCTCTCACTGAGCATCGTGTTCTTAAAGTTCATCTGCAGTTGTCCGGAGTGTCAGTGCCCCTCTCCTTTTCATGGCTGAGTGATGCTCCCTGGTGTGGAGGGACCCCCCTGCATTTATTCATTCACCCACATTAGTGGACATTCAGGCTGCTTCCACATTTTGGCTGCTGTGAATCATACTGCTGTGAACATCCTGGCATAGTTGTTTGTGTGAATGTATCTTTAGTTTTCTTGGGCATTTGCCTAGGAGTGGAATCACTGGGTCCTTCAGTAGCTCCATGTTTGTCTGTGGAACTGTTTCCCAAAGTGGCTGCCCCAAACTGGCATGATTTGGGCACTTACTGTATGTCAGGCCAGAAAACTACTTCTTTGGATTTGGTGAGGCAGGTGCCAGGTTTAATGCTGTTGCGCAGGTGTGGTCACTGAGGCTCTGAGAGGGAGGCCAGATGGCTCTGGACTCACAGTCTGGAGCAAACTCTGGAAGCAGGGGCTGAGCTGGGTGGGACTCTAAGGGCGTGGCTGGGACTTTAGAGGTGAGGGCAGCTGGCTGCTGCTCCTGCTTGCAGTGGGTCCAGCTGCAGCCCTTGACCTCATTCCCATTACTTTCCAGCTTGAGGCTGCCCAGCCGGAGCCTGGTGGCTCAGCAGGTGCCCAGGGTCCCTGGAGAGGAGTGTCTCTGGGGCTCCTGCAACAAACCAGGACAGCCTCCATGGAGTTCAAAGGAAGCCTGTGGTCAAGGCACAACCAGCCTCCACTTCATTGTGGAAATTGCCTCCCAGCTCTGAAAATCAGAAGGAACGAGGAGTGTCCCCACCCCATAGATGTGTGTGAGGACAGAGGAAGGACTCTCAATAGCTTCATCCATGCCCTCCCTACCCCAACCCCACCCTCCCTGCACTTTGGGATCCTCCTTCAGTTCCAGAGAGGTGGAGAACC